TTTGGCTAAAATAAATTTATCAAATTGATATTACTAATGCGCTTTATTCCCTTAACTAGATTATAACGTCTTTCCTTAACTAAAATAACAACAAACACTATACTAGCATGACCAGACGGGGTACGTTTATTTGATGAGCAAATCAAGTAACCGGGCTTAAGACAAAGCAATATTTTAACACACAATTGATAACAATGGAAAGAACACGTAATCTAAACACGTTATTATTATATCAGTTGTTCTGGTCTTGCAAAATATTTATTACATGATAATAGTATACGCCTTTGCCTTCGAAAGAATTGCTAAAAAAAAAAAATACAACCATGAAATGCTTTAATACCAACAAATTTAGTCAGGCACGCTTACGCGATCTAACTCGGCCAGGAAACTTAGAGATAAAAAACATTTATTTTTATTTTTTAAATGAAAAAACACTGAGAACCTGTGTCCGTTTGCCAACTGTAAGATCGCTAAATGCTGGACCTCATTTATCTAGCGTTTGACGTATACTATTATAAACATCAAAAATATTCTCAATACATCAGTGAATTTGTAAAAAAGCAAAACCTTATTCAATATGAAATTGGATATGTTAACTGCTCGAAAACGTCTGGTAGAATGACCAGTACACATTATACATTAACCGTTCATTGCGACTTAAGCACGAGAAAAACATGACAAATCACTGTATAGAAAGCGATACGCAAAGACAAACATTTTACGCTATACTATCGAAACGCGTAAAATTTCAAATATCACCTACCTCATTTTGTCTTTTTTAAAACGTGTCATAAAATGTATCCCATAATCTTTAGCTTCATCATCATCATTACTCCTCCTTACTATCAAATCTTTTGCATATTTTGTCACTAATAGTACGTCACAAACATCACTTTCACTCATTATAAGATCGCTTCATAGCATTACGTCTGATCATAATTGCACTTGTAATTGTTTTAATTTCTATCTTGCATTACATTTCAGACTACCGGTATTGTACAAAGCTGACAGAAGCTTGTCTTTCCAGTCAGGGGCAAATGTCGAAATGTGAACTGCTTCGAATACTCAGGTTACAATCGCATGCATCATGACCACAGGGGCTTAAAACAAACTTTTTCTATAATAAGATATACGGTCTCTAACAGAACAAAAACATCAAGCCGAACAAACAAGACCACTGCTGCAAGAAACGACCAAATCACAGTTATCTCCTTTTCGTCACCATTTAAAAGGATCCATCCAAGCGTTAAAGCTTTTTATTTCATTAAAATCTCTCAAATATTAAAGAAATGAAAAAACTTTCACAAAATGCCAATATTTTCAATCCATGTCGTTTTCGACGTCCATTCTATTCATGTATAGACACACAATTACGAAATAAACAGAAAACGGCTAAAATTTCCACATACGTTCCTTAAACAAACTCTTTTTCTTAACTGAACGAAAGTCCATTGGGGGCCTTATACAGTATCTTAATATACATATATCATATCGGCCGATTATGTAAAATATTTGATTATGTAACTAACGCCTGTGAGCATGACCATCGGAATAAGTCAATGTCATTGCGAATAGATCAATGTCATTGCGGATAGGTCAATGTCATTGTGTGTGCATATTACATATTTTCTGACTAATTCACATCAAGTAGCTCATTACGCCTCTTTCTTTTTACACATTTCAACTCAGTATTCATTCCCGTCATTATTACCCCTTTTCGCATCAAAATTATTCTGTCTCCTAAATACTAGTAATACACTTAAACATCATCCACCGCATTACGCTGCATCATTACGCCTCATCAACGTGTTTCACCTCATTTAAGCAGTAAAATTAGTCGTAAAGATAAAGCTTAAAATTATTAAATATTTCTTTGAAATAACAAAATAAAATTTATGAATTATGTCAATACTACACTCAATATCGTGTTACATTGCATTTGATTTGTGCCGCGTCACGACAAAACCAACATAGTACGTTTGCGACCAGCATGGATCCATGCTCTTCGCTTTCAGTTTCTCTACTTGTTATAGGGTCTGTAAGCGAACAACATGGATGTTGATCAGACTGCGCGGATGCGCAGCTGGTCTGGATCCATGCTGGTCGCAAACCCATTATGTTGGTTTTGTCGTGACGCGGCTCATTTGTTTTACTAGAACACGTCTGTTATACGTCTCATTAATACACCCTCACTACGGCAGCAACCAAAATCTTTGTCTCCCAAACGGTGCTTTTGTGCAGAGTCTCTACTATAGTTTTTTATTATGCATGGAATATGGATTTAATAATGTTAATGACCTAAATAAAAGAGAATGGATGTGGTAGTAAGATGTATAGCCAGACATTGCTACCCCAGGACTAAGTACTAAATGTGCCATTTTTTTCTAATAGTAAAATTGGATTAAAAATCCCTATATAAATTATGCCTATTTAATGGATATTTTATTTAAAAAACAACTGCGACAGAAATTATGAACTGATTTCGTTTGAATTAAAGAGAGTATTTTTAAGTACAAGTATTTACAAGTATATTATTAGTTATAAAGATTGTTGACAGGTTATATGGCCATATATAAACGGCTATTTGTAAATATAACTTGATTCTTCATGATATCGACAGCAGCCTTGTATGTAAAACTTTATAATACTGCACGTTTGTAACGTCATTTTTCATTGGATAATCATGACGTTTACATAGTTTTGTATACACGGCTGCTGTCGATTCATGAAGAAATCTTACTTTTTTCTCTAAAAATGATGCTTGCTGTATTATAAATTCGTTATAAAGATGGTTGACGACAGGTTATATGGCCGTATATAAAAGGCTGTCCATGACGGGTTTCGAACCCACAATGGTGAGGGGCAAGTGGTTCGAAGTTAGCAAACCCAACAGCTTAATCAAAGAGATTACCACGAAAACAAAATAAACACACAACAAAATCATTTGTTACAACTGTAACATTATTATTCAGATAGCAATCTTGCGTATAGTTGAGTAATTGTCGACAATGTTAATAATACAAAGAGCGAAACGTACCAGTTTTTAGCGAAAGGGGATTTCCACTTATTTCGTTAAAGAAAGTACCATCTGCAAATAATTTAACTTGTGACGTGTAGTGGGTGTTGCTGGTGATATGAGGAATATGATGTACAACTGTTCGGTTGGGATGGAAACTGTTGCTAAGAGTATCTGTCCGAGCTACATCACACTCTAGTTCCACCTAAAATATACATAAAAAAACATGTTCCCGACTCTCTTTATGATTCTTGTCGGTCATTAATGAAAATGTATATCTTCCCGATAGGGGTCAGACGTTGTTATTAGGAGATAAATGCATATATTTAACTCAAAACTTTCTGATATGGTACCCTATGAATCTAGCTTATTACGCCTATATATTTCCAGATCCATACACCTTAACAAGCTTGCTAAGCATCTTTTTTGCTCATTACGCCTTATGTACCTCATTACGCCTTATAAAGCTCATAACGTTACATAATCAGTATATCACCATTACGCCTCATTCAGATTATTACTCTTTTTATTAGCTCATTACGCATATATACTAGATTACTTTACATCGTGCATTACCTGTATACCTCCTACACAATCGTCGGATTATCCGTCCCATTATATACTAATTTAATCTTATAACAATAAGTCGCTTTCTTTCTAACATGTGACCCGTTAACATTGAACACAATTGCAATGCTTCATTGCATTAACCATTATCTGTGTATGGTACACATATATATTTTGTAAAACCCGCATAGAAATTAAACAATCATGAAGATATTTGCACACTTGAGAAACATCTAATAGATTTGCGAATAATTTTCTTTATATTTGAAATCATTTCTCCGTCAAAATAAAAGTTTTACCAAATTGCAGCGAAAAAATGAGGCAAATTATACAAATACTTGCGCTCTTGAAATATTTTATAGATAAGCAAATTAATGTCTTTATATTTGAACTCATTGTTCTGTCTCAATCAGTCGTATATTATGTCTTTTATGACATTCAAATATAATACTCATACATATCTATGTACTATTATTAATGATGTTACAAACCACAAAAGAAGAAAGCAAACTTACTTTACAGGGTCAAGACGATCATATATATTGACCCAAATCCAAAATTTCTTTGCCAATTTTAAAAATATAGATCTGTGACACGGTGCATATCCATATCGGTACCCTCTTTGCGAAATCTGCTGAAACGGTACCCTCTTTGCACATGCACAGGCCACTCTCTGCTAAAAACAAACCAGCGATTGATAACAATACAGTAAAATTTCAATATAATAAGGAAAGAAGGTATGACACGTAGAAAAGATGTATACCACGGAACACTAGAATGTTTTATCTATGTGCTGATTTGTCATGTTCCCGTTTTTCATGTACTACAAATTCACAATAAGCTACAAAAAAATCGACATGCCTTGCTTCGCCCATCACCTCGACATATTTTTTGGGCTGAAATAAACCTGTGGCTTGATTATATATGCATCATACATATTTAATATGTTCATATACATATCATCTTCGGACAAATGGCAGTATAGTGTCAAAAATAAATGAAAAATTCATAAAAACACCCTACTTTCGGTTTTGCAACGGCACGGGCTACCTCTCTTCATTTGAATTTTTATGTCACAGGTACCCTCTCAATTTTTTTCACATATATTTTATCTCAAGGCACGACATATGCTTTTATTTGCGTTAATCGTTAGGTATGTAATATTTCTTTATTTATGTAAATATTACATACTTAACGATTAACGCAATTAAAAGCATATGTCGTGCATTGAGTATACCTATGTGTTAAAAAATGAGAGGGTACCTGTGATATAAAACATCAAATGAAGAGAGGTAGCCCGTGCCGCTGCAAAACTGAAAGTAGGGTGTTTTTATGAATTTTACCATTATTTTTGACAATGTACTGCCATTTGTCCGAAGATGATATGTAAATGAACATATTAGATATGTATGATGCATATATAATCAAGCTACAGGTTCATTTCAGCCCGAAAAGTATGTCGAGGTGATGGGCGAGGTAAGACATGTTGATTTTTTGTAGCTTATTGTGAAGTTGCAGTACATGAAAAACGGGCACATGACAAATCAGCACATAGATAAAACATTCTAGTGTTCCGTGGTATACATCTTTTCCACGTGTCATACCTCCTTTCCTTATTACAATGATTTTTTACTGGCTTGTTATCCATCGCTGGTTTGTTTTGAGCAGAGAATGGCCTGTGCATGTACAAAGAGGGTACCGTTTCAGCAGATTTCGCAAAGAGGGTACCGATATGGATATGCACCGTGTGTGAATATCATTCTAAAATAAGGATTCAAGAAAATCAGACGGTTTAACATCAACCTTAAAGATGCATATACGAGCCGTGTCATGACAGAACCAACATAATGGGTTTGCGAACAGCATGGATCCAGACAAGTCTGCGCATCCGCGCAGTCTGATTAGGATCCATGCTGTTCGCTATCAGCTTCTCCACTTGTAATAGGGTTTGTATGGAACGCCATAGCTGCCTTATATAAACACTTCTAAAGTGGTCATGTCCTTTTGACAGATAGTGTTGTGGTTCTGATAAATGGTTATGTGGTTTCAATAAATGGTGATGTAGTTGTGATAGATGGTCATGTAGTTTAAGTAAATGGTGCTGTGGTTTTGATAAATGGTGATGTCGTTTTGACAGATGGTGTTGTAGTTTAAATAAATGGTGCTGTGGATTTAATAAATGATGCTGTGGTTTTGATAAATGGTGATGTCGTTTTGACTGATGGTGCTGTAGTTTAAGTAAATGGTGCTGTGGTTTTTATAAATGGTGATGTCGTTTTGACAGATGGTGCTGTAGTTTAAATAAATGGTGCTGTGGATTTAATAAATGGTGCTGTGGTTTTGATAAATGGTAATGTCGTTTTGACAGATGGTGCTGTAGTTTAAGTAAATGGTGCTGTGGTTTTGATAAATGGTGATGTCGTTTTGACAGATGGTGTTGTAGTTTAAATAAATGGTGCTGTGGATTTAATAAATGGTGCTGTGGTTATGATAAATGGTGATGTCGTTTTGACAGATGGTGCTGTAGTTTAAGTAAATGGTGCTATGGTTTTGATAAATGGTGATGTCGTTTTTACTGTAGTTTAAATAAATGGTGCTGTGGATTTAATAAATGGTGCTGTGGTTTTGATAAATGGTGATGTCGTTGTGACAGATGGTGCTGTGGTTTTGTTAGCTGGTTTTGTCATTTTGATTATTGGTGATGTAATTATATATATGGTGCTGTTGTTTTGATACATGGTGCTGCAGTAATGATAAATGGTGAGCTCGTTTTGATATATGGTGGTGTCACTTTGGTACCTGGTGGTGTCATTTTATATATGGTGCTGGTGTTTTTATAAATGGTGCTGTAATTTTGCTATATGGTGATGTTGTTTTTATAAATGGTGATACTATTTTGATGTATGGTGATGTTGTTTTTATAAATGGTTATACTATTTTGATATATGGTGATGTTCTTTTTATAAATGGTTATGCTATTTTGCTGTGTGGTGATGTTTTTTTTTATACATGGTGATACTATTTTGATGTATGGTTCTGTGATTTTTTATTACGATGATGATGAACTATTTATAGATGACCTGTTTGTTTACCGGAACATTTTGATTGGTTATATTAAAAAATGGAGACGTTTTTTCGCCAAATTCTATACACTCTTATCTGAGCTTCATCACATCTTGACAGTTATTTATCCCCAAGTATTTCATTGCCTGCATAGATAATTTGCAGACAAAATCAGGCGGGATTTTTTCATTTTCAAACATTGTCCACAAGTTACCCATTCCAAGGTTTTTCAAAATTGCTTCCCTTGTTTTCCACCAGTTAAACATTTCAACTTTAATTTTAATTTATTAATCACAGAGAAAAACATTTAACCCTTTTCTTGATGAGGAAATTGTCAAAAATGGCCGTTTTCATTGGAAAGCCTCCTGTTAAAAGTTCAAATTGCTATGGAACTATGAAAAATGCTGCGATACTGATGGAAATTGGCACAAATGTTGACTGGACAATAGCCTCTGTACATGTAACAGCATGCTCAATCTTAAACTTCCTGTAAAATTGGCAAAGGGGGAACGTCTCAAAATTGCCAAAAATCACTATTTTGCATTGTTTTTTTTTTCCATCAAAACTATTTTCAAAGTGCTGCAACTTCTCAATGGATTGAGATAGAGCAAAAGGCTTTTCAGCGTTGGTTACACGTTACCTTACGATCGGCCTGAGGCCATTTAAGCCTGTCACATGTCCAAAATTTTCTTGGTGATGAGGGGGACTGCCGCCCCCTTCAACCCCCCCCCCAACAGAAGGGGGCACATCCCCTTTCTGACAACCCCTTGATGTACCATTTTGATGGGGGCGGCGCCGAAAATATGGTCACTTTTTAACAACATTTCTCAAACGAAAAACAGTGTCTAGGGCTTAAATAGGGCATTTTTTACTGCCTGAGGCCTCATAAGGGGGGGGGGGGGTCGACAAGCCGTCAAATAAAGTCTATATGAGGTACATGTAAAGTCTATTGAAACGACATAACCATTTATCAAAATTACAGCACCATCTAACAAAACGACATAACCATTTATCAAAATTACAGCACCATCTAACAAAACGACATAACCATTTATCGAAATTACAGCATCATCTAACAAAACGATATAACCATTTATCAGAATTACAGCACCATCTATAAATAGCACAGCACCATCTAACAATACAATAGAACCATTTATAAAAATTACAGCACTATCTACAACAACCACAGCACCATCTAACAAAACGACATAACCATTTATCAAATCGACAGCACCATCTATAAATAGCACAGCTCCATCTTACAAAACGAGATAACCATTTATCCAATTCACAGCACCGTCTATTGAAACGACATCACCAGGTATCAAAATTACAGCAACATCTTTAAAACTCACAACACCGTTTAACAAAACTACAGCATCATCTATCAATTCGACTTCGCTATTTATCAAAACGACATCACCATATGTAAAAACGATAACACCATCGATCAGTGCTACAGCACAATATTTCAAATAGACTCTACCAAGTATTGAAAGCACAGCACCATTTATTAAAATGACATCACCATATATCAAAACCACTGCACCGTTTATAACTTGACTGCACCATATATCTAAATTACATGACCATCTATCTGAACGACATCACCATATATGAAAATAACATCACCATCTTTCAAAACCATAGCACCATCTATAAAGCGACATCGTCATTTATCAAAAGGACATCACGACTTGATAAGAGTGAATATAAGGCAGCTATGGCGTTCCATAGGTTTGTAAGCGAACAGCATGTATCCTGATCAGACGGCGCGGATGCGCAGGCTGGTCTGGATCCATGCTGATCGCAAACTCATTATGTTGGTTTTGTCATGACGCGGCTCATTAATTATGTTAAATTACACGATACTTTTAAATCGCTTAAAACAGAAATACGCATACCAGTATATCAGTATTGACTAATTGACTCCTAGTAAAATGTAAATATTGAGGGTCACGTATACACGACAGGAATGACAACGACAATTGTTTATGACGTCAGTATAAGCAATATATAGGTAAAATTCAACATTAAAATATCGGAAGCAAATTCTTGAGATAACGTCCAAAAATGTGGCAATTAAAAATCAATGTGACAAATTCGTATAATTCTGAAAGGACACCGAATATGTATAGAAACCTCATTTAACTGTGCAATTTTGTTGCACATGTGGAAGCCCATTGATTACAAGATAGAAATAAACATAAAGCTACTGTACAATATATTGTTGAGTGACTGAAGTGTACATACTGCTCTAATTTTGCATTGCCTCGTATAAAATATAGTTCTTTGCGTTGGCTTGTTTGATTTAAACTTTATTTAAGTTATTGATGAAGTACGAGCGCCCTCTGTCGGCGCCCGTGACCCGCTCTGAAGACCTTGTCAGGCGGGGAGTTTGACTGGGGCGGTACATCTGTCAAACGGTAACGCAGGTGTCCTAAGGTGGGCTCAGCGAGGACGGAAACCTCGCGTAGAGCAAAAGGGCAAATGCCCACTTGATTTTGATTTTCAGTACGAATACAGACCGTGAAAGCGCGGCCTATCGATCCTTTTGACGTTGAGAGTTTCAAGCAAGAGGTGTCAGAAAAGTTACCACAGGGATAACTGGCTTGTTAGAATCATCAGCTTGTATACCCTGAAAATTGAAAAGCATTCTGGATGAAAAATACTGTATGAGTAACACATTAATATAAAAACAGTGCTTGCTTTTCCGTCGGTAGAATATTCATATAAATTGCATTTAAAGTAGGCGCGGATTCTTATTAAAAATTAAAATGTTAACTATTCATGATACAATTAAGGTGCAATTATTTCTAAAATACATCTAGTTTAATTGAAAATAATACCTTAGAGAGTACAGAATCAAAGTTCATTACATCACGAAGGACTTAATGCATTTATGTTTCCCCTTTTTTATTGATAAATGAGCCGCGTCATGACAAAACCAACGTAATGCGTTTGCGACCAGCATGGATCCAGACCAGCCTGCGCATCCGTGCAGTCTGATCAGGATCCATGCTGTTCGCAATCAGTTTCTCTACTTGTTATAAGGTTTGTAAGCGAACATGGATCCTAATCAGCTGCTCGGATGCGCAGGCTGGTCTGGATCCATGCTGGTCGCAAACCCACTATATGTTGGTTTTGTCATGACGCGGCTCATATTTCTTTGTTTTACTTGTAATATACAAGTGAGTATCTGAGTTCTTTGTTTTATACAGGCGACAATGTGTATGTTGCGGTTACAACAAACTCTGATGATGTGTAGGTGAAGATGCGTCTTCATATATGTTACACAAAACCTGATCCTAATGCGGATGCAAGAGTAACATATCCTTTAATACAAAACGGGTAAGACCTGTGAAATTCTACAAATTTTAATCTTAATGATGGTACGCTTCTTCATAAAAAGGTTGTCTGATTACTTTTTGAATTATTCATGTGACCGGCCACGCAAAAAGAGCCCTTTTTGGAGTAAACGTCATTCAGCTATAAATGACGTCAAAAAATGTCGTTGCTTTCGGCGCATTTTTCTTTAATATTATATTATTTGTGATATAAACAGTTTCATGAACAAACACAATTTTTCAAGACATGCTTCGCTTTTTATTTTCTTTTTTAGTTGATATGATAAATCACATTCACCCGAACATGTGTTTAAGAACACCTTTCAAATAAGGACCACTCTTTTGATAAAGACCACTCTTTGACAAACGTTCAAAGTGAAAAAGTGACATCCAAATAAAGACCACCCTGTAAATAAAAGCCACCCTTCGCAAACCTTCATTGATTAGATAGAACAAAAGTACCTCCAAATAAAGACAACCTGTGTATAGTGGCCGTGTTTGGTTTTTCCTCTACAGTTCTTGTGTTCACAGGTTTAACTGCATTCTTTATGGACATTATCCGTTTCTTATTATATCTGTTTTTAAGAACATTTTCATTTTTTTTTTCAGATGTGTGGTAGATCCCGAAACTCATATTTTTTCACAAGGAACACACGAGACCCGGTTTGTCTTCAGTGCATTTGAATTCCCCCAGACTCATAACAGCGTGTATATTTTCTGTAACTCCACGTTCTGTAAGACTACGGACACTAGCGACATGTGCACGCAAATTTGTCACGGCTCACCGTCACTTATGGGACGCTCACTGTGGACATTGGAATCAGAGCGCGAGAAAAAATCAAATTACCTTAATGTATTTCCCTAATACATGTATAAATAAAATGATTAATATAATTGACTTTGTTGAATATACTTTTGGTTAACCTGATTTTATTTTGAAGACCCTGTCGAAGTAGTGAATTCAGGTAAACAGCATCAGTACTTTTTGTAATCCAGAATCATTTTGAACATTTTCTTAGCAGTTTTGGCTATTAAGTATTTTCTAAGCCAGAATCCATGTATTTGTCATGTGACTACGAAATGTTTCCGTAAACAGACTTTGTCTCGTTGAAATTTCAACTCTTTTTGCCTCCCTATTATCGCCACATAATTATTACGTCTAATTATCAATACTTCAATGACTTTCTTTATTTTTAGCGCTCTAACTCTGCGTTTTATAGCATTTTCTCCTCGACAATATCCGACTATTAAAGACTTAATACAGAATGCCTAAAACTTATTTCAAATAGGGTATAATGAATGTTTTGATTTACAAACATTGTTAAATTGTTATGGTAAAGAAATATTAAACCATTATGTCAAAGTAAAGTAATGAAGCGTAATGATGACAATACGTAAAGACGGTGAGATACAATTACAAGTTATAGGTAACGCCACATCATTACTCATAATATTGCTCGTTACGTCTCACTATTATGCATTTTCCTCGGTAAGGTGGTTAGTTAGAAAAAAGGCGTAATGAGCTCGATATGGTTCACTAAGACCAGGGAGGTTTATAGCATATTGTGTGAAAAAGAGACGTAATTTCAAATAAAGATGTTAATAAGCTACATGGGGTATAGGTAGATAAAAGAGATGAAATCAGGAGGAAAAGTTTATCCATTTTGGTCCTTAATATTGAGTGTTCTTTGATAATCTCGGAAAACACAAATATAAATAAAAACTTGGAGGTTTCAAATTTAGCATACTTATGATGATCACAATGTTAGCAATGTTTGAAAGCAGGAGGCCCTCACTCATGAAAATTATGAAAATATATTTAAAGGCACATTATGCTTTAGAAATTAAAACAATTTTCTCTCATCAGATAGGGCAAACATGAGTATTATAACGTTAAAAAAGTTATGAAAGGAAATGACAAATAATGAGGCGTAATATAAAAAGAAGCGTTATAGTAAATAAATAGGCGTAAAAGGAATAAAGAAGTGTAATATGGATAAAAGGGAGTAATAATGAGTTAAGAAGAGGAATGACAAATAACGAGGCATAATTTGTATAATAAAGCGTAATGGTAAATAAATAGGCGTAAAAGGAATAAAGTAGCGTAATATGGATAAAAGGGAGTAATGATGAGTTAAGAAGGGGAATGACAAATAATGAAGCATAATATGTAAAATGAAGCGTAATGGTAAATAAATAGGCGTAAAAGGAATAAAGTAGTGTAACATGGATAAAAGGGAGTAATAATGAGTAAAGAAGAGGAATGACAAATAATGAGGCATAATATGTAAAATGAAGCGTAATGGTAAATAAATAGGCGTAAAAGGAATAAAGTAGCGTAATATGGATAAAAGGGAGTAATAATGAGTTAAGAAGGGGAATGACAAATAATGAAGCATAATATGTAAAATGAAGCGTAATGGTAAATAAATAGGCGTAAAAGGAATAAAGTAGCGTAATATGGATAAAAGGGAGTAATAATGAGTAAAGAAGAGGAATGACAAATAATGAGGCATAATATGTAAAATGAAGCGTAATGGTAAATAAATAGGCGTAAAAGGAATAAAGTAGCGTAATATGGATAAAAGGGAGTAATAATGAGTTAAGAAGGGAAATGACAAATAATGAAGCATAATATGTATAATGAAGCGTAATGGTAAATAAATAGGCGTAAAAGGAATAAAGTAGCGTAATATGGATAAAAGGGAGTAATAATGAGTTAAGAAGGGAAATGACAAATAATGAAGCATAATATGTATAATGAAGCGTAATGGTAAATAAAAAGGCGTAAAAGGAATAAAGTAGCGTAATATGGATAAAAGGGAGTAATAATGAGTTAAGAAGGGAAATGACAAATAATGAAGCATAATATGTATAATGAAGCGTAATGGTAAATAAAAAGGCGTAAAAGGAATAAAGTAGCGTAATATGGATAAAAGGGAGTAATAATGAGTTAAGAAGGGGAATGACAAATAATGAGGCATAATATGTATAATGAAGCGTAATGGTTAATAAATGGAAGGGGAATGACAAATAATGAGGCATAATATGTATAATGAAGCGTAATGGTAAATAAATAGGCGTAAAAGGAATGAAGTGGCGTAATATGGATAAAAGGGAGTAGTAATGAATTAAGAAGAGGAATGACAAATAATGAAGCATAATTTGTATAATGAAGCGTAATGGTAAATAAATAGGCGTAAAAGGAATGAAGTGGCGTAATATGGATAAAAGGGAGTAATTATGAGTTATGAAGGGGATTGACAAATAATGAGGCTTATTACATGCTTTTCGGTGGTTTATAGAAATATATCAGTGATATAAAACGGGTAATTTCACTGTTTGAAACAGTGAAATTACCACTTTGATAATTTCACTGTTTTGAATTTAAGCCCCTAACGTTGTTTCAGTGAAATAGCAGCGTGCACAGTACTGGGTACCAACTTAATGACGTGACGTCGTAAATGACGTCACGTTGCATTATTATTTGGCGCGCTTTTCATTAATTATTAGATTTATTGTCTTTTTAAAACGTTTCTTTGCATGTAATAAAAAGAAAATTTGTTTAGTTTAGTGTAAGATTGAAATATATTTCACCTTGTGAACACCAAAAGTTCATATTTCACTCGTGGCTGCGCCACTCGTGAAATATACCTTTTGGTGCTCACTCGGTGAACTATATTCCGATCTTACACTGAACTAAACAAATATCCTCTATGTAATATTTATTGTGAAGCTTATTCTTACAACTGCAGAATAATTTTGCAAGGTATATAATTGACTAATAAATACAAAATGTATTAATGGTAAATGATATTATAAAGATGCATTTTTTTATTAATTCAGTCAAGTTTTTTTACGTTTTGGTTACGTTTGAATTAAACTAAAATATTGTTAATTAATTTAGTTTATATTTTTCAGATTTTGTTCCAAGAATAAGATGCACTACTTTTCCAGTATGATCGTTATTTTGGAGAACGATTCTTTAGTTAGTGAAATAAGATACCTTGAACTTTTCTGATTTCAATTTTTATATTCTGTATATAAGAAGAGATTCCATATTTTATACGTTTTTGTAAATGTTCTGAACTTATTGATGGAAGGTGTGCAGTTATTGAGCTTACATATTCGGCTTTTAATTACATTTTACATAGTATTCTTATGGGTTTTCTCATTACATTATGTCAGAACACTTACGGAAGGTGGCTGGTCTTGAGTTTTGGTTTCCTTCTATGTCCCCCCCCCACGATGGAGTAGGGTTGCGCAGCCGACTCGCAGCATACTGACAGGGAAAGTACGTTCATAACCGTGTGTTTTCCATGTTGTTGTTCATAATTAAGATATGAGATTATTGTCAAGAAAGTCATTTCAGATTACACCGATTTATGAAACGTTGAGATGTTTATGTCATGTATGCTGTTTCTAAGATCATGTATTAGTAATGTATATATACGGCATTGTAGATAACAAATCCTAAATGTGAATTTATGTACGTGTTGTTCTTTCTTCCTTCGATTGCCTTTATTATGGGGTATAAATTTTATTTACGTTTGAGCCTAGCGAATTAGGAAATAGCAAAATGTTTGATGATAGGTTTAATAATGAGGTGACACTGATAAGTTTTAGGTGTGATAATATTAAGGCATTATATTGATAAGACACAATGGTATAATATAAGTTTTATTGTGAGTAAGAGTTACAATAGCGAATCAGGAGTTAAAACACTTAAAATTTCTTTGCCAATTTTAAAAATATCTGTGAATATTATTCAAAAATTAGGATTCAAGAAAATCAGACGGTTTTACATCAACCTTAAAGATCCATAATATGAGCCGCGTCACGACAAAACCAACATGTAAGGTCTTCTTTAAACAATAATAAAGTCAAATGCCCTAACCCAAGCAAAATATCTAGGAGATTTGGCATCGTCGTTTTTTAGACCGGGATGTAGCGCCGATATATCTGTACTATATCTGACCGTACCGGGCTCTGCCGGGACTCTACCGGTGATTGTCGGCACTCTATCTGACCGTACCGGGGCTCTGCCGGGATCATCCGGGAACTCTGCCGACATCATCCGGGGCTGTGCTAGCATGGATCTCAGCTTTTTATGATCTCTTTGATCGAAGACTTAACAGCGTTTGAATACCGTGTTAGGTCATCCGTCGTCCACTTACTGTCTGCATTATCCGTAATTTCAACTTCACTCTGCATGGATGGCCCGGAGTTCATCAAGGTTGTTTTAAGTATGGACATTGGGTATCGCCGTAGTGATACCGGGGTTAAATACCTCTATGCAGCTATTTTGCGGGAAATAGAATTAGGATTAGGCAAATGGGGTGATGATTTTACATATGTTGAAACAGCTGTTTTGTCCAGGTACAGGATTCGAACCAAGAATCAGTTTGTTACCAGTGTTAATGAGATCTATCTTCTAACAATGTTTCTTGTTGATATCTAGTATTTCTAGTTTCAGAGTTCACAGCATGGAAAGGATAAAATGAACTAGACGTATGAGACTTTATGATATCAATTGTTCTCAGTTCAAAAACTTCTGTCATGATAAAGACAAAAACAGATGTCATGCTGTTGCCGATATTTTATTGCGTGAAAATATAGATAATAATTAAATAAGAATTAAGATCCTTTCTAAATATTCTAAATGTGTAGAAAAGAATGTGCATAAATGATATAGATAAATATACATTATCATATGGTCTTTTAGAAGTAGTTTAATATGTGCAGATTAGAAGCAAGTTACATAAATCATCTATATACACCAATATCTGCAGTTCACAATTAACATAAAACACAGAATAAATTAACAACAGTTCAATACTTAACAACAGAGTAAAGAAATTACACATATGACTACATAATTTTGTGCTGCATTATTTATGTTTCTCAAAAACATCAAACAAATTTCGTTGATTGACAGTTCATTCAATCAGTCATGCATACACTTTCATTCTTTACAGTTGTAACCAAAACTTCAATAAAATCAAATTCATTTTTAAACATGATGACACTTGAGCTTTTGAAATAAATGCATTTGTTTTTTTCCACAAAACATAACCATGCATATATTCTACAGAGAACGTAACATTTTAAGTCTGTACTTTGGGAATTTAAGCCAATAGAAAATCTAGCCTATTTAAATTTCTGTAAACATAATTCACATAAATTCCCTGTACAAATGTTAAAAAGGGGACACAACACACCAGAATCGTGGCTCTTCTCTATAATACGGAGACATTCATTAAATTCATCAAACATCTGAGGGCTCAATTGTACCTTTCACTTTGAAATTAATAAGTGATGATCACATCATAAATTACACTTAATTCTCATTTTTTGGAATCAAAGTGGGAACTTTTCCATAGGTTTTATAAAAGGTTTCTAGCATATTACGCCACAGAAAAGCACTCCCCCCTGACAAATAACTTACAAAATTCAAGAAATTAAGGCACTTAATCACAAGTCTTTTTTTCATGTACATTTAATAATAAAACAAGAATAACCTTTTGCAAAAGGTAATACAAACTTATTGTTACTTTGACAATTTCATTACGATGACAAATTCAAAATAATTTATACAATATTCAACACATATTTGTTTCATATTACATGGACATATCCCTTTTCATTTAATAATGATACAGAATTTTAACATACAATATCCACAAGTAATTCACAATTATTTTTATGTTAAAAATGTGACTGTTGTCAGACAGTTATTAATGCAATTATTACAAGCAGGATAACAGAGTGAACAAATGCAAAGAAAAAAACAATATACACGACTTATTGATTGTTTTTGTAAACATGCAGTACAAATTATAACAAAAAAATACAATAATTCAACAAAATATAGCAATTTAAGCAAATTGTCAATTGTGTTCATTTCCTGCAAATTCGATTCCTTAGACATCTTAAAATTACATAAACAGACTTCTGTCTTCAACCTAGCACTCATTTCTATAAATATAGAACTGTACACAAATGAACATATATTCAACAAAATAAAAGAGTTTAGGAATGATCTGGAAATAATTTTTATAAAGAAGCTTACATAAATAAGCCGCGTCACAACAAAACCAACATAATCTGTGCAGTCTGATCAGGATCCATGCTGTTCGTTTACCAACTCTTTAACAAGTAGAGAAACTGATAGCGAACAGCATGGATCCTGATCAGACTGCATGTATGCGCAGGCTGGTCTGGATCCATGCTGGTCGCAAACCCACTATGATGGTTTTGTCATGACGCGGCTCAAATCATAAAAGCTGACATGAATAACAGTATCAACAATACTCCCTTTTCACTGATAATGTTCATAAAAAGTAAAAATATATCTTTAACTATAAAAAATGTTGGAAAACCTATTTCTATCCTCACTAACTTTGACTTTCATTCAACTGACCTGAAATCCATAACAAAGGTGAGGTTTATATAAGGTATATTCACACCAAATACCCAATATATCAGCCATTAAATTAAAGTGCTATGAAAAAGTAAGAGTAACAAAACAAACCCCCAAGACGTTTTTTTTACGTTTTTCTTTTATGAAAATAGGAAATTAATGCCTCAAAAAGTGAGCAAATTTTCTAACAGTAACACTTTACATACTAAAGTTGATCATTTTTGACCTAAAATTTCGACTTATCATTTTTCTTTGATTTTGATATCTTCAAAAATATCATACCTTCAGTGACCAAAAATACCGGTAAACAAAATTGAAAAAAAAAAAAAAAAAAAAAAGTAAACAAAATTGAAAAAAAAAAAAATTTTTTTTTTAGAAAGATAGTAAGATATTTTCATTATTTTGGGGTTTTATTAACTTAATTTTCCAACTAGTTCATCAGAATAATAAATAACATTTAGTTTTTTTTAAGTAAAAACATTCATCATTATTCCTAAATACTAGTTTGAACATATCAAGTAAAAACTTATTGATAACCTTAATGGTTTGTTTGTTTGTTTGTTTTGGGTTTTACGTCACATCGACACAGTATAGGTCATATCGCGACGTTCCAGCTTTACTGGTTGAGGAAGACCTCAGGTGCCCTTCCGTGCATTATTTCAGGCACAAACAGGTACCTGAGTAGAACCACCGACGTTCCGTAAGCTAGCTGGATAGCTTCCTCACATGAAAGAATCCAAAGTCCCTGAACCTTAATGGCCTAGAGTAATTTTCTTAATTGGGTAAAATATGGATGGAACATGGATGTTAAGTATGGAAATGGTAGTAGGCTAAGCGAAAAAAAACAACTGAAAAACAAACAAAAACTGTATAAAGTAAGAATTTTTCTCAATAAAGTTAATAACTTTTTAACAATTGTCAAGCAATGTTCATTGTAAAGTTCTACTTGTTTTTTGCTGACAAATTACATTATTTGTTCTAGATTTGATCCTTAAATTAAAAGGATCTTATATGTATGCATTCCACTGGCTAACTTTTCTTCAGCTATACACTAACATACTTTTAGTGCAGATAATCACTCCCATGCACATCTAATTATTTTATACTTTATACTTTAATTCAAAGAGCAATAAGATTTTTTTTTATTTTCTAGTAAACAAAATTAACAGGTACTAGTAACAACCTAAATTGCATGAAAATGATTGCAATAAAGAAAAACAAAATAAATCCAAAAGGAAAATAAAAGGAAAAGAATCATAACTATATATGTTCACATCTGCTATTAATTTGAAACCTGTTTTCGTTTTTCATACAACTCATCTTTGATTTGAAGTGATGTTCACAGGATGTTCTAAAATCACTATTGTGTTAAAGTAAATTTGTCTACAAGTGAAGTGTAAGATTAGAACTAGCATATCACGCTTATTTTCTTCTTGTTCCCTCAGTTAATCATAAGTCTGGAACTGGTCCTGAAAAATATGAGAATAATACAGGTTTTAACTAGAACTTAAACAACTTAATTAAATCATTACTGAGAAAGATGCTAGTAATAATTGGCTTCTCGACTATTTATTGAGTTAATTTGGCAAGGTTTTTCTATGTGATGGACTGAGCTTACAACAATAATTGTATCAATAAGATTAATTACCTCGGGTACAACAATAATTGTATCAATAAGGTTAATTACCTCGGGTACAACAATAATTGTATCAATAAGGTTAATTACCTCGGGTATTCCTTGATATACAGCATCATCATCCTCATCATCTGTATCTTCTCCTGATGAATCATCTGGTGTGTTTGTTATACCTGTAATATCACCATGGAAACAGTATTATATATTTATCCTATATAGTCATTGTAATATGAGCAGTATATCCACTCATAATGAACTATGATAAAAATATATCATTTAATCCTTGGAAAGCTGATATTAAAACTTTCCTATGTCTTCTTTCAGCTTCAATCTAAAGGGTCTATCTGTCAAGAAATGGACAAAAAAAATAATAACCAGTGCAAAAAAAAAAAAAAAATCAGGGCAAACAAAGTAAAAAAAGTGTATAACTTTGCAAAAATATTACCAGGAATATATGTCTATTGATATGGCATTATATTTTGATAAACAAGTACTGGGTTCACAAAGTTTGAAGTAAATACCTTTCATAGTTCCTGAGAAAATGGACATAACATAGAGTTTAACCAGTGCCGAACGCCTTCAAGAGGGTTGTGACCATAGTTCAACTTTTCTTCTTAAGATAATGGAGCTAATAAAAAAACCTAAAGGTTTCAAATTTCACTTAGTGTTTGTTTTACACTACTTTCAGAAGATCTTTTTATCTTACTGTAATTGCACAAACCTGATTCTGATGGGTTCTTTGCGCTGGAAAGTTTTCCGAAACAAGTAAGGCATACTCTGAGTGGTTTAGATGATTGTTGAGGTAACAGCCATCTTTTACTAGAACAATCATCACAGACAACTAACCCACACTTCCTACAATGATGCTGTAATAAATATCATATACATTTATATTTAATTTATTTATAAATACAACTTCATCACATATCCATGCTGCTTCTCCAACTTTGTGGAAAAACAAACAAGAGGGCCATGATGGCCCTGAGTAGCTCACAAGAAACAACTACCTAAGAATGCTACAGACAAAGTTTGGTAATCATCCATCAATTAGTTCTGTTGAAGCAGATGTTTAAAGGTATTTCTATTTTTAGCTTTAGTGGCCCCTAATAGGGGCCAATCAAATTAATATGAGCAAACTTAATAAGAGACTACCTAAGAATGCTACATACAAAGTTTCATAATCATCCATCTATTATTTCAGTAGGAGATGATGTTGAAAGGTTATTCTATTTTAAGCTTTAGCGGCCCCTAAAAGGGGCCAATCAAATTAATATGAGCAAACTTGATAAAAGACTACCTAAGAATGCTACAGACAAAGTTTCGTGATTATCCATCAATAATTTTAGTAGTAGATGATATTCTCGAAGGTTTTTTTTTATTTTTTGCTTAAGGGCCCCTAAAAGGGCTAATCAAATTAATATGAGCAAACTTGATAAAACACTACCTAATAATGCTTCAGACAAAATTTGGTGATCATCCATCAATTAGTTCTGCAGAAGGAGACTTTTAAAGGTATTAATATTTTTAGCTTTAGTGGCCCCTAAAAGGGGCCATTCAAATTAATATGAGCAAACTTAAGAATGCTACAGACAAAGTTTGGTGATCATCCATCAATTAGTTCTGTAGAAGAAGATGTCAAGAAGTTTTTTTTTATTTTTAGCTCTAGAGAACCCTTAAAGGGGCCAATCAAATTAAAATGAGCAAATTTAATACAAGACTACCTTAGAATGCTACAGAAAAATTTTGGTGATCATTTAATTTAGTAGTAGAAGATGTTTAAAGGTTTTTCTTTTTTTTTAGCTCTGTTAACCCCTTAAAGGGTCCAATTAAAATGGCATGATGAGCAAACTTAAGTGTGACTGTCACAAGGATGCTACAGACCAAATTGGAGGTAAATCTGCCCAGTAGTTTCAGAGAAGATGATTGTTGAAGCATGACGACGGACGCCGGAGTATCCCCCTTTGATACTCATAGCTCACCCTGAACATACGGTTCTGGTGAGCTAACAAGAGCACCGCATAATGTGCTAAGGCTCGCCTGTAAAATACAAACTGTTCTTATTTTGGCTATATGACAAATAGAATATTATAATTATATTCTTACAGCGTCATGACTTATATTTATATTTTTTATTACAATGAAATGAGTATTTGTAATGCTTGGCAAATAATGATAATTGGCATGCCTCTAGATGCATGCCTGCCATTTTGGATGATAATTGAGACCGAGTTCAATATGATCAAATACTCGGATTGAAATATTATATGATAATGGCTAGCCTAAAACATGTACTTTCATAGTAATTTACCTAGTGTGTAAAAATAATTAAAAATAACCATAATGATAATTCTGAAATAGCAGGCAAATATGGTGATTACAGCAGAATGGTAAAAAGTTTTATATCAAATGAACAGGGGTTCAAAACCCCATAAGGGGCAAGTCGTTGTTTCCATGAGCAAGAATATTACACTCATTGCTCAGAACTGGTGGATTCAGAGAATGGATTCTAAAGTATGTCTTTTAGCTTAAAACTTTCTTCACAAACTATAAGACCAACATGAAAAGTGTCACACATATTCTCAAACATACACTTGTACTTAAGCCATTTCTTCAACTCCAACTTTTCTTGAAAAATTTATACATCAATACAATTTGATGCCTTTTAAAAGTAGAACCTCAATCTAGTTAACACCAAGTTTATTTTATCATATATGACTATCTACAACACTTAAAGTATAAATTCTTTTACACCCTAATCCCATAGAGCTTTAACCATTTTTATTAAGCATTAACATCTAATTTCGTTTCTGTATAATAAAGCTTATTACCTTGTCAAAACAAGATTACTGAGCAACAAGAGGAGAATAAAGAAGGTAATCAGCACACCTTTTACATTAATTACTGACACAAAAAGCCACACAAAATTTTTTAACTGAAACTTGAGAGATCAAACTTTTGTTTTGGCTTGATTACTTATTTAGCTGACGGTTAATTTAACTAATTTTCAGACACTCCTAGACGTAGCTGATACTACTGTCATATAAGGTAACACAGTCATAATACATTTGGATTCTAATGATCTCAAGGTTGAAAGGTAGACGATCTAATTCACCAGGTCATCACCTCTCATATTTAAAAAATTGATTAGCAAATGATTTTTTCTTTTAAATTTAATGTTGAATTCTATTTGCTACTTTATTTTTGTATCTGTCTTAATATTTGTAATTGCTCATGTGTATAGTGTTTAAACATGTTTTCGTTTCTATATCTTATAATGCTTAAGGGAAGGACAGTTACTAATGGTACTAGAACTTGTTGTTCAACCCTTTTGCCCTTTGTTAAAAATGTTGTTTTGTGGAAATAATGTTCTTAAATTGTATTCAAAGAGCAATAAAATATTATTAAACAAACATAAATCACCTCTCATGTAATTTGATTAGTCTTATTTTATCAGGAAATATTGTAAAATTGTTCACTTACCCTTCGATTAAGCATAGAGAACTGAGAGCGTTTACAATGCATACATTTCGAGGCGGAAGAGTCAGGTACCCAAACAGGCGAGTCATTCTCACTGTTCACTTCCTGTGTCAATCCTCCTGACAACACAAAACATTGATTGATTAAAGGTCAAATGTTCAGGTCAAATGTATCTGAATTCAAAGTTCAATTTGTTTATTTACATTTAGTAGATATAAATCTATTTCTTGCTCAGATGGCCATGATGTTATTAAGCATAATAATATCTAGCTACACGTATTGCTAAAGCTATGTTCATGCAGCCCAACTTGTGGATCATTCCTATCAAGTTTCATAAAAATCTGCCAATTGAGTCTCAAAAAAATGGTAACCTATTTTATTTGTTAATAGCTTTCTATTTGTAGTGTCCTTTTAGTTCCAAAAAATTACTCATTAATGTTAGCTTTACATAATAGGAATGCCAATGAAACAAGACTCTTTTTCAAATGTAAACCCTTCTTATTTAGGATATATCATAAATATAATATCATATTTATGTAGATTAATTATTTAATTCATTGAACTCCTTGAAAAGTATAAGTTTCACCAGAGACTTACAAAATGTGATTTTATTCTACTTGTTCAATAAATTCTGTATTAAATTTACACTCATTTAATATGCTCTATTTAATACATGAAAAAATCCCAAGTCCCCGTCAGGATTTGAGTCTCTGTTAGCATTTACAACCACAGCAATAAGTCAGCAACCTTCACCATCTGCCAATGGGGAACTTTAATATATTAATTTAATTTGGTTAAATCTATTACACATAAATGTGACTATCTTACTTTTATGGAGTAAGTCAGAAACACATTTTTTGATATGAGAGATCCATTGTTGTTTCTCTACCCCTGTTGCTGCATATACAACAAATGACTTCTTTGGACTGATCAACTTCCAACCATTTCTTAAATCTGGAGAAAAAAAAAATACCGATAAATAAACAGTATAAAAGTAAATATTTGTTATTAGTTATAAAGAATTTTATATTAATACATTTATTACAGTACAATGTTTATTGTTCATTTTAATACTGCATGTTTGTAACGTCACTTTCTTTTCATTGGATAATTGTGACGTTTTATATTCTGTCAAACAATCTTTAGTAGAATTCTGCAATTCATATATTGTATATGAAACATCACATGCATAGATTTGTATTATCATTCAGCAAGTTCAAAACTGTCCTAATACAAGTAAAATAGTTGTGATTTGATGTAGCCTTAGACATATACTACCCCAAAAACTGCTAATAACTTGTCAAAATATGCATGAATTCTACTTCTGTAATACGATTACATTTTCAAACTAAAAATAGTGAAATCTGTCATATTTTGTGTGAAACAAAGTTACACCTGGATTGTAACACTAGCCATTTATACATTTTTAAACCATAAACATACAAAAACTGCCTTCACGCTTTTTTATAACTTAACTCTTCACATGCTGCCATTTACTTTGTATGAGCATAACAAAAACAAGCTATTGAACCTACAAAGTGGATTCAAGATGTTAGTAAACAAATTTATCAACAAAATACAAATCTTTTAGAAACAATGATTGTATTTTTTGCACCATAACTTATAAACTGTCAATTTCAACACCAAAGTGTCAGTATATTATTTCAACAAAGTTTATTTACCGGGGAAAAAAAGAGAGTTCAAAATTCATTATAAACTTCAGTGATCCTTTTGGGTTTTTTGTTGGTTTTTATGTCGCACCAACACAGTATAGGTCATATTGGGACATCCCAGCTATACTGGTGGAGAATCCTCAGGTGTTAAAAACAACAACAACACACACCCACACTCAAACATAAAACTATCTAATATACAAATTAGTCAGATCTTATTAATTATATTTACCATACTGATATATACACAAATGTAGCTTATATGACCTATGTCTATGAATCTTAAATTGGTCATAAAAAATAAGATTTGTAACAAATATCTGTTTGCTAGCACATGCATTAATCTAGAGGATTCAACAAAATAATTTGACTAAATAAAAAAAAAATTATCAATTACAAAAAAAAAAATTCTAAAATTTTAACAAAAATCTGAGCTAACTAAACAAACATAACAGATTTGAATTTTCTTTTAAGTAATGAAGGAAAAATTAATAGATTTAAAATTATTTCTTCTACTCTGCAGATAAAATAGATGTTTCAAGAGAAAATGGTTACAGCTGGGTAACATGGAATCACCATTAAACCAAAGAGCTAATTAATACTTCATTAAGAAGCTTTTGAATGTTGTAATAAAAGTTCAAAGAATACACATACTAAGTTTCACAGCACACAAATGAAAAAAATATTTACCATAATGATCTGAAAAAACATACAACATATAATAAGCTGCATGCTTGACATGCTCTAACACATTTTAAATACTTGGAACTACTGTTATTAAGAAAAGAACAATAAAAAAAGAAGATAGAGTCAAATTTGTCATAGGAAAAAAGACATTTTATCATTTAATTTGTAATAAACAAAATCACAAAGGGCGATAATTCATACTAGAGTCTGACAAAATCCATGTAAGAGTTATGGGAAAAAATATAATGATCAGCAAAGAATAATAATTTATGGGTGGAAAACTGAAAAACTGGAATAAATGATTTTTTCACTTTAAAATTATTTTTTTTTAAATCATATTCTTGAAAGCATGCCAATTTTAAATAAATCCTATGAAACAGTATTCATTCTGTCTTTGCCTATATGATAACAGTTTACTGTAGTGAACATTTTTAATGCGGAACAGGTGCTCAATATTGCAAATTACCTGACTTAAAATACAGGAAATTGAAACAAAAAAACTGTCAAAAAACACTAAGAAACAATTAAGAAAAATGCAAAAAAGTTTTCCCTATATTTAGTAAACATATTATACTCAAGTATTTGTTCAGGTATTAAAATTTAAAAGTATAATATTGACATAAATTGGCACCCTCCATAGCAAATGAAACTGAGTTGAGTGGGATGAAAAAATTTCTATTTGTATTGTAACAAGAGCCATGTCAACATGGCCATCCCCCGCCGAATGTGTTTACTCATTGGAAGAATGTATATGTAGTAGAGCGGAATAATTCCATTTTAAGAGGTCTTTTGGTAATGAAAACTCTGATGGCTATAGTGATTACAGATTTGAAACCTATGTGAATACTGATGGCTGAAAATAACAAAGGGCAATTACTGAAAAATAATGCAGGGAG